CACACACACACACATGCACACATTACGTACACACACCAGCCCCCGGGAGCTCACACACACACATGCACACATACGTACACACACCAGCCCCAGGAGCTCAGACACACACATGCACACAATCCTACACACAGAACCACAGCCGCACACACACAACCACAACACAGTCGCAGGCACACGCAATCACACTTCCCTTACAAACCAACCTGCCCAGCACTCACACCCCCTCCACCCCCCCACCCCCTGACACACACAAGGACCACGCTTCCCCTGATGGATAGAAAGCTCCAGAAGGAGGGTGGGGAGTAGGGCCAGGTGGGAGGAGAGCGAGGAGGGACCATCTTGTCTGGGCAGCGCCGTCCCACCACAGGGTGACTGGATCACCACTTTTCTGTCCCCAGGGGCCACCAAAGACATGGGGAAGATGCTCGGGGGCGACGAGGAGAAGGACCCTGACGCCGCCAAGAAGGAGGAGGAACGGCAGGAGGCGCTGCGGCAGGAGGAGGAGGAGCGCAAGGCCAAGTATGCCAAGATGGAGGCAGAGCGCGAGGCCATGCGGCAGGGCATCCGCGACAAGGTGGGCCGCGCCTCACTGGGGGGCGGGGCCCTGAATGAGGGAGGCTGCCCCAGCCTCCTCCGCCCCTCCTGTGCGGCGCACAGGGCAGACCTGACACGGGAGCTCCAGGAGGTGGCCCCGGCGGAGGGAGCAGGACAGGGGCGGCCCCCCCACCCCGTGTCCGTCCACCCCAGGCTTGCCAGGGTCAGGCTCCTTCTGTGCTGTGAGTCCAGCCTCTGGGTGGGGGCTCCCAGGCTCCTCAGATGGGGCGGTGGTTTCTGCAGGAGAAAGCCCCCAGCCCTGCCCCTCCTGGTGCTATCTCCCAGGACTGCCCCCCAAGGACTCCCAGGAGAGGCTCTGCCCAGTCGGGGAGGGGCCTGACTGCCCCCGCTCACAGGCCGGCCTTGCCTGGGGTGAGTTGTCCGTGGGCAGGGGGAACGCACCTGACCACCCCCGGGGGTCCTCATACCTTCTGAGATTCGCAACAGCGTTGTTGGGGAGCAGGCCTGCGGGCTGTGAGGTCTGGCTGGGGGGTTGGCTGTGAGCTGGTGGCCACACCCTCTCTGGAATCATCTGGGCAATCTTCCCCGTGAGTGGGGCAATGAGAGCGTCGTGCCTGTTTTCCCGCAGAGGGGGAAACTGAGGCCCAGAACGGGAGCAGGCGTGCGAGGCTGAGCCGGCAGCTAGGCCCGAATGCTTAGTGCAGGTGCTCTGTCCCCAAGGCATGTCCCTCCAGTGGCCAGGCTGGAAGGGTGGCCGAGGTCTGGAGAGGGCAGGCGTCAGGGCAGCTGCTCCAGCCTCATCCAAGAGGAGACGGGGCCCTGCCCTGGGGGCTCTGGCTGTGTGAGGAGTGGCCTGGGCACGAGGCGCCCCTGAACCCCAGGGCTTTCCATGGTCCTCGAGGCCGTGCGTCTGGGGGCTTGCCTGCCGCCCTTGGGCTGCACCAGGCCAGGCCTCCTCCGTCGGAGGTGCTCACGGCTGAGTCACTGGGTCCGGGCATCGGGTGGGAGATGTGGCTTGGGGTCTGCCTTGCTGGGTTCCTTCCTGCCCCTAACCCTGGTGCCTGGCTCTTCCCAGACCTTGTAGATGAAACCTGTGGGTAGGCTGCCGGGTGGGCGGTGGTGGGGACCCCAAGGAGATCTCCACGGTTCCCTGCTCTGGAGCAGCTGAGAGGCCCAGGCTGCAGGGTGGGAAAGCTCAGACTCCAGGACCTCCCGCCTGCCGGGTTCTGCCTCAGTGTACCCAGGAAGGGCCAGCTCCACCCAGCCTGATGCGGAAGCCAGACCTCCCAAGGGGGCACAGCACAGGCGGGGCTCCTGCAGGTCTCTGAGCCCACAAGCCCCCCCCCCCACTGATGGGGGCATGGGGGCTGCACACCCTGATGTCCCACTGTGGGTCACTGGCACCTTTCCTGGGGACCTGCAGAAAGCTCGAGTCGATTTTGCTGCAACAGCAGCTCATGACCCCGCTGCCCCCAGCATGGGGAAGAGCCAGGAAATGCGCACCATCGACCAGACACCAGAGAGGCAGCCAAACCCCACTTAGGCTGTGCCCAGAAATCAGTGTATCGATCGGGAAACGGGGGGCAGGGCGGGAGAGGGGAGTCAGAGGACAGAGAGACAGAGAGAGAAAGAGAAAGAGAAAGAGACAGAAACAGAGAGAGCTGAGAGCTGAGAGCTGAGAGACGTCCAGGCAGAGTGTCTCCTGGGAGGAGAGGAATGGGAGGGTGGCCGTGGCGGGGAGCTGGGGGAGGGACAGAAACAAAGAGATGGAGGGGGCGGGGGTGGAGGAGATGGCTGGAGCAGCTGTGTCTGGAAGCTTGTCTGTCTGTCCGTTTGTCTGTTTCCAGCCACCCAGCTGGCCACGGCTTTGCCCCAAGTGGACAGCGGTGGAGGATCCTGGGGGTGAACTTATTTGTCCCAGCCCTCAAGCCTCACGAACAGGTCACAACCTTTGGACAGGCCTTGGAGCCCCTGAGGATGTGCGGGCTGTAGGGGGGCCTCCCCCATCGGGAGACAGGTGCCTCCTGAGGCCCCGCCCCTGAGCCCAGGCCTGGCCCCCAGGTGTGCTTGTGGGGTGGGGGCCAACAGCTTGGAGGGGGTGCGGATTGTGTGAGTTCCTTTGCGTAACACACACCACTCTTTTTAATATGAAACCCCTTCTGTCCCTCCTGTCTTCAAACCCTCCAGTGGCCCCCATTTCATCCAAGGCCCCAGGCCTGTGGTGACTCTGCCCATGGCTCCCATCTCCCCTCGCCGCTGCACACACAGCCTCATGGGGCTCCCATTGAGCCCACACTCGCACTGCCCCAGGGCCTTTGCGCGGCTGCTTCTCTCTGGAGCCCTCCCCACCCCTTTATTTGCTCCCCACACCTGCCTTCATCTGATGCACTTGGGTTTTTACTTGTTTGCTGTTCGTCGTCCATCCACCATGTGGAGGGCAGGAGCTTCAACTCTTGGGCAGGGCTTGTTCCCCTTGATTGAAACGGTGCCTTGTCCTGTGGATGCTGAGCGAGCAAATGAGTGAGCGAGCGAATGAATGAATGGGCATCACGTCAGCCCCAGTGACCTCTTCCTCCTCGTGGGGTCTGATGGGAACTGAACGTCAGAGTGAGTCCTGGTGGGAGTGGGGGGATGTGCCCTCACCCTGAGGGTCCTGGGGTCCTGCGGCTCTGTGGGCGGGCAGGGGGCTGGGTGACCCTCACCAGCGCCCCCCAGCAGATGAGTGATGGATCATGTGCCCCCCTCAGAACCCCCAGCTTCTGGGGTGGCCATGCAGAAGGCTGCACCCCTTGGTGGAGCCCCAGGACCCTTGGCCTAGTGCCACGGGGGTCCCCTGGCCAGGGGTCCTACCTCCCCAGATGAGCACTCCCCAACCTGGGACCCCCTTGGGTGGGCTTGGCACCTTCACCTTCTGAACCCCCTCCACAGGCTGTTCCTCACTTTCTCTGCCAGCCCCCAGCCCCTCCAGGCTGAGAGCTCCTTCCTGTGCCCACCCAGGGCTCTGGTCCCGCCAGCCCAGGGGATGCTGTGGCATCTGCTGAGTCCAGTTGCCAGGGCAGGGGTCAGATCCCGGCCCTTATCCCACTCGCTGGCTGGGCCAGGTTCCTAACCGGCCCTGCCCAATCATTTCAGCTGTTGTGGGATTAAGCAGGACTAGTGGGCCAAGGCCTGTCCCCAGAGGGTCCCTTGCAGGGAAGCTGTGGGGTGTGGGGAGCAGACACACACCTGCTGGGGGCCCCCTGCTGGCCGGTGCCGGGAGCTCAGCGCCTGGCACCTCCCGCCCCCGCGAGGCCCGCACCGTTCTCCGCAGAGCCCTCCTCCACCTGGGTATGGCCAGGTAAGCCCCCCACTGCCCTCCTGCTCCCCTCTGGTGGGACCCCTGCCCTTTAGGTGTGGCTCCCCCAGGTGGCCCTCACTGGCCCCCGGGCGCCAGACCCGGCTTCCTCCAGCCCTCCCTTGGTGCCATGTACCCCCAGGCCTCGTGGGGGCTGGTCAGAGAAGGGTGCCGAGCTGCCTGGTCCAGAGCCCCATCAGATCGGGCGCCAAGGGGCCGGACCCGGTCGAGGGGAGCGGAAGCGGACATGCTGGACTTCTCACCGCAGAGGCTGTGAGCAGCGCCTCCCCCTCCCAACTCGGTCACGACGCCGTCTGCGGGGGAGATCAGCCCACCTGCGCGTCATTTGCATACGCGCCGCCTGGTTTGCATACGCACGTCCTGATTTGCATGCGCACCGCTAAGTTCGTGCTTCCAGCCGCTCACGTTCCGCAGCTTCCAGCCAGAACCACCCCCTCCCGGTGCCGGGCCGGCGGATCGCAGTCCAGCTGGCCCCCACGTACCCCCGAGATCACTCGATGCTCAGCCTGAGGTTTGCGCTGATAACAACAGGTGTGACTGTGATTGCTGATTATTAGTTGTTTCACCATGTCACAGATTTTCACCGTTAATTAGCACCGCGCTGGCGGCCCTGGGCTCCCTCCCGGCCACAGGGTATGGGATGGGGTCCTGCCGTCTCAGTAGTCAACAGGGATGGCTGGGCGCCTCAGTGGTTAGTGTTGCTGGTGAACAGCCGCCGATGGACGCCTGCCCCCGCTGTGGCTGGGCATTTGTCTCCAGTACTCGGAAGCCTCAAACCGGCTCTCAGCCAGACCACATGGGAGCCAGGCTCCGGGGTAGACCCCAGCTCAGGAGCCCCGTGCCAGCAGAGTAACCGTGACCCTCAGGTCAAGCCCGGAGTGGCCTTAGCCTCAGAATGACTTTGAGCCTCAGTGGAGCGACTGGACTGGGGTCTGGGGTCTCCTTCCTGGACCCCAAAGGGGGGGACCCCGACACTGTTTGCAGACAGGGCTTCTCCCAACCCCATGTGTGGCTTCCCTGGTCAGGGAGGGTCCTCTGCTCAACGTGCACCACGTGTTCTCGCCATTACCCGCTGTTCCCACTGCCACTCTTGTGTCTCTGCCAGCACCGAGTGTTCCTCTGAGAAGCGCACTTTGGCCAGGAGCGTGAGCGCAGGCTCTGGCGGCACAGCCCTTTCCCCCAGCACACGCGTGTTCCTGCCGTGTGCACAGAGGTCCTGTGGCTGTAGGAACCTGCTGGGCTCCGTGCCCCTGGCTGGAGGGAAGCTCTCTGGTCTCACCTAGTTTCTGGTGGTGTCCCTCTCCCCGGCTCACAACCCACCCCACAGCACTGAGCCACATGTCCTACCCTCCCTCCCCTTCTGAGATCGGGGACTCTGCCCTCTGTGGTGAGGTTGTCCCCAAGGGGTGACCCAGGAAGTGAGCCTGTGCTCCTCGCACGTCCCGTGGAAGTGCCTGGTGTCTGGCCAGCTTGTCACACTTGTGCCCTCTGCTGACCTGACGTCAGTGCTCAGTAGGGAGGACACTCTGGACAATGTGCCCGCTGCTGAGGACGTTCTCGAGATGCCCTCACTGCCCCTTACTGAGACCCTTCCAGTGCTCCCGGCTTTTGTTCAGGGTGCAGAGAGGGCCCCTGCTGAAGAAGCCTAGACATCATCCCTCATCTCTCATCCCCCTCTCCTCAGTGGCCGGCCGCGGCCCGGGAGGGCCAGGTTGTGCTCTGGTCACAGGTGGGCCAAGAGTATGGCTGACTCCTCTTGGACCTCTGCTGAAGGTGGACCTTGCCTCCCCAATGCCTGAAGCCACCTGCAGCCTCGGGGGAGGAGACAGTGCAGAGGTTTCCCTCAGCAGGCTGGGGGTGGGACACGGCCAGGCCCCCCCAGTCTGGAAGGAGAGAGAAGGGCCTTCTTGGAGCGCCAGGGTGCCACCCCCCAGCACCAGAAGCAGAGCCCACCACTTCTTGCAGGAGGAGCTGGTGAGGAGAGATGAGCAGGCACTGGGGGCTCCACCATCTGGGCAGAAGCACCCCTCCCCAAGGCCAGCAGTCCTGCACTTGTGTGCTCCCGGCAGGATTCTGACACTCACACGTTCCCCCAGCACGCCCTCTTTACCCTCATTAATGCTTCTGCTCTCATGCACTCCCTAACTTGTGGCCAAGGACCTCAGACCTGGCCAAGGGGTGTCCCTTCCCCCAGCCTCGGTGGGTCCTGAGATCCACCCACCCAGTGGACAACCAGCCCCCCACCCACAAGGCTGGCTTGGCCCCACCTGGTTCCCACCAGCCCTAAGGCAGGAGGTCTGGTGTGGTCTTGTGGCATCAATGCTTGTCTCCAGAGGGCTGGTGAGGATGCTGATGGGCCTGGTGGGGGTGTGTATCAGTCTCCTGGAAATTTATACTCTCAGTTTTGGAGGCCAGAAGTCCAAAATCAAGATGTGGGCAGGGTTGCGCTCCCTCTGAAACCTGTAGGGGAGAATCCTTTCTGTCTCCTCTAGTTTCTGGTGCTTCCTCCAGTGTTCGGTGTCTTTGGCTTGTGGCAGTGGCTCCAATCTTTCTCCATTTCCATATGGCTTCTCCCTGTGTGTCCTTTTCCTGTACAAGGAAACTCTTGTTGGATTTAGGGCCCAGAATGACCTCATCTCTATCCTTACTTTAATTACATCTGCAAAGACGCTATTTCCAAATAAGGTCACATAGTGCGGTTCCAGGTGACATGAACTTTGGGGGGACACGGGGCAGAGACACACACAGGAAACCCAGGCATGTTGGCTGAGGGCACATGGAGGTGGAGGTTCCAGGACATCCAGCTACAAGTAACTACTGGGCACGCCCCTCTGCCGCTGCCCACCGAGTGTGCAGAGTGACCGCATGTCCCCAGACCAGGTTTCTGGGCTGTGTGCGGTGGGCCAGCACGGAGCGACGTGTTCTCTCCCCTGACGTCCTGCCCGCGGCTCCCGGCCACCGCCCAGGCCAGGCTGTGGACAGCACCGAGCACCCCCCACCAAGTGGGACCGCAGGGGCGGGGCTTCGGGGGGTCGTGGCGTTGGCGCCCCCTCAAAGGGAGACGCGGCGTTCCCCCTGACCCCCCGTAGTTTCCCCCTTCAGCGCGGCCCCGCCGTTCAGGCTGCCGCACTCTCCGTGGGGGTCTCCTCCAGGCCCCCTCCTGGGTGGGGATGGTCCTGGTGGCCGGCGGTGGCGCAAGGGGCTCCCGCACACGCTACAGGCAGCTACAGGCGCTGCCTCTCCGGCCCTTGGCCGATCCCCCCGGTGCAGGGAGACGGGTCGGGACCCTCGGGGTGTGCGCGGTCCCCCGCCCGCCTGACCCCGTGCTCTCCCCTCCCCCACAGTACGGCATCAAGAAGAAGGAGGAGCGCGAGGCTGAGGCCCAGGCCGCCATGGAGGCCAACTCGGAGGGCAGCCTGACGCGGCCCAAGAAGGCCATCCCGCCGGGCTGCGGGGATGAGCCGGAGGAGGAGGACGAGAGCATCCTGGACACGGTCATCAAGTATCTGCCCGGGCCGCTGCAGGACATGTTCAAGAAGTAATGCCCGGCGCTGGACGGCAGCCCGCCAAGCCCGGAGCCCCCACCCCCGACCGTCCCCTTCGCGCACCCCTGGACATGCCCTCCGCGGAGGCCCGCGGAGGCCCCCGAAGGGATGTCGGGAGCAGAGTGCAGCCCCACAACGCCAATATAAGCCATAGCCCTGTCTATCAGCCCCACGCCCCCTCACGCCTTGGGAGCCTCCGCCCCCCTCCCCCTCCCTGCACTGCCATCGCCACCGCCACCGGGGGAGGGGCGCCCTCCCCCTCCCCAGGGGCCCCTGCGGTCCGTGCTGGAGGCCCCGGGAACAAGTCCACGTGCTCCTCTGGCCGCGGGTGGGTTGGACCCGCCCCCAGATCCTGGGTCGCCCCTTCCTCCCGCCCTTCGCCGCTCACCCAGCAGCACCCGTGGCCAGGGCCACGGAAAGGGCCAGGCCCTCGACCACCCCTCCGTGCGTCGTCCCTGCGTTGGTGGGCGCTGGTCCAGGCCCAAACTCAGGAGCAGAGCCATACTGGGGGGAGGCGGTCGTGCAGGCAGTGATGGGGGCTGGGAGGGGCAGCTGGTGCCCGGGGCCCTCCTGCGGCAGGGGTGGGAAGCCCCTCCCACTTAGGATCAGCCTGGACCCCAACCCCTTCCTCCTGCACTCACACCTGGGTTGCTGGATCTCGGCATCATCCTGTCGGCTAGTTGCCCACTTCTCTCCATCTGCGCCCCTCACGTTCTTTGTCCGTCTGACTCTGTCCTTTCCTCTCCCACTCCTCTGGAAGGCTTTCCTTCTTAAGAATGCCATGGCCCTGTTCTCTTACAAACCAAGGGAAACAAAGCCATAGGCTTAGGGAGGAAATTCTCAGAGCCCCCACCCCGCCCCCGTGTGGCGCACACAGAACCCCTCACACACCCGTCTAACTCTCGCTCCCCTCTCTGTCTGGGCCTGGCAGAGCCCGGCCCACTCCCCTCCCTGGGTGGCACCTCCTGTCTTCTCCTCCCTCCGAGGCTGCTCTGGGGGGATGGCCAGCCCTCTGCCTCTGAACACCCACACCTTCCACGAGAGCTGCGGAGGATACCCGGAGCTCTCGGGGGCGCGTGCTGTGCCTCCGGAGAGGTGCGTGGAGACAGGAGGCCGGTCCCTGCCCTCCTCCGCCGTCCGCTCCTCGGCAGAGTGCGGCCCCTCGAGCTGGGGTCTTCGGGGTGTCCTTGGCACAGCGGAGGCGGCGTTTGACCAACCACCGTGGGCCGACACAGCCGGGCCTTTGAGCCCTTCCGTTTTCTCCATCCTTGTTTAATCTGCATCACAATATGTTGAATCTCAGGTAAATGAGGTCTTCTGCGTCGGAAGAGTTTTATCTTGACGGACAGCCCGTCGCCTCACTCCCCAGGGCCCTTTCTGTCCACATCAAAAATTCATTGTGTCCACGTGTGGCGGGCCAGGGGCGTGGCCCTCCTTGCTCTTTAGAGAAGCCATACGATTAGACCGCAATACTCACCGCGCCCCTCCCTCCGGAGACGGAGAGCATGTCCCGCCCGCGCTGCGCCGGTGTCCTGCGCCCCGACCCTCCCGGTTCCACGTCTGCCTGTTTCCACACTTTAAAAAGCCAGCTCTGAGCAGGCAGGGTATTGTCTCGTAGACACCCCGCATCGTTCCCAGGCAGGGGGCGCCGAGCAGCTGAGCTTAGTAGACGTGGGTGTTGTCTGTCCGTCTGTCCCCACGCTGCGCCCCCTCCTGCATGTTGGAGGCCGCCGCGTTTGTTCCCTCCGGATGGAATCACAGCCAATAAACACCAGTGATTTCACACCGATCGGCCTCTGTCTCCGAGTCCTGATTCCGCCTGGGAGGCCAGAGTGGCGGAGGGGAGGGCACAGCCCGGGGTCCTGGAGTGGGGCTGGACCCCACAGGGATCTGCACTCTCTGGGCTCTGCTGGACAACCCTCGCTCACCCCACGCCCTGCCAGATAGAAAACACCTTCCCCTCTCCCTGGGGCGACTGCAGCGTCTCCCCACTGCCCTGACCCAGATTCTCTGCTCTGATCCGTTCCTTAAGGCAGCCCCAGAGTCATCTCCATCTACAACACAGATCAGCCCCTTCAGGGCCCCAACCCCTCCCATGACTCTCACTCTGCAGACCCTGTCACAGGCCTTTCCTTCCCTACGGCTATGCCAGGCCCTGGGGGCACAGGTCCCACTGTGCTGGCCACACCTCGGGCCCACCTGGCAAATTCCTGCACAGCCCCGAGGGTCTGGCCCTCCGCCTCTGTGCCCCACTGCAGCTCTGGGCCCCACACTCCACAGGGGACGCCTACCCATCTGGGCTGAGACCTGATGGGGTGGGATATGCTGGCTCTCTGGCCTGGGCCTGGGCACCCCAGCCCAGCCCAGCGAACAGCCCTGCTGTCTCCTCTGGGCCCCTGCCCATGTCCTTCCTGTGCCCAAAGCCCACCCCAACGTGCTGTGGCTACTCGTGTCCCCAGAAAGGCCTTGTTTGACCCTCCACTTCTGGGGGCCTCTCTCCAGGGAGGCAGCAAGCCCCGCTCACCTGTGGTTTTCCTCATGCTGCTGGCTGGGAATGCACATGGGGCTTCCAGTAACATGTGCCCAGTGTCAGCGAGCAGAAAGGCCACACTCGCCCCGCCCCACCCCCGCCCCTCCCCACCGAGCTGTGCACTGAAGGCCGCTAGGGAGCTAGGCCCCTTTGCCTCTGCCTCCATGCTGGGGATGCTGGGTGGGGTCGGGGAGGGGTCTGGGAGGGAACGTGCTCTTCTCCGAGCATGTGGGGGGATTGTCTGCTATCCCCCCTCCTCCTGCCACTGGGGGGAGTTTGGCCCCCAGCCCCAAGTACCGCTGAGCAGCCAATGCGCCTTCCATCTCCTGAGGAGGGAGCGGCTGTCCGACAACCTTCCTTCCCTGGATCCCAAACTCGGAAGAAGTCTTTGCCGCCCACTCTGTGGCTTGGGGTCTGCACGCTGCCCCACAAGGTGCTGCTAGGAGGCACCGGAAACTGCACCCACCACTCAGCCTCCCCTCCCCCGACAGACACAGCCTGGCCTGGACCTGACTCGGTCCTGAACAGCGACCTGGACATGCCAGGTGACCCGGTGCGCCTTCCCCCAGCCCTTCTTCAGCGACGGGTAGTTCAGACCTCTCAGGGAACGGGGTCCGAGGGCTCCAGGGAAAGGCACTCGATCGCTTGTCCGGAGCCCCTGCGATGTGCTGAGCTCAGTTCCAGGCACCGGGCATGACTGAGGCCCCTTCCTCCTGGAACCCTTCTTTCCAGTGGCAGGAGACAGATGATAAACATGAGTCAAGGGGTGATTTCTCCTGTGGAGTGAATCTTGAAGGATATACAGCATGGTGATGGCTGTTCTCTCATCTCTGAGGGGTGACATGTGCAGAGATACCCCCAGGAAGGGCAGAGGGATCCCTGTGGGCCTCTGGTGGAAAAGCATTCCAGGCAGAGGAACAGCCCTGCCAGCAACCTAAGGCAGGAGCCACCCTGGGCCTTTCAGCACAGTGACCCTGATTCCAGCTGACCTGGCCTTTTCAGGGCAGTGACCTCCACTCCAGCTGACCCGGCCTTTCAGGGCGGTGACCCTGACTCCCGCTGACACGGCCTTTCAGGGCAGTGACCCCCACTGCAGCCAACCTGGACTTTCAGGGCGGTGACCCCGACTCCAGCTGACTCGGCCTTTCAGGGCGGTGACCCCGACTGCACCTGACCGTGCACCTGTCATGTGACATGTGACACTTCTCTCTTAGCAGAGTCTCTTTCTTTTCTGGGCGTTTAACTCTTTGGACAAAGCAGAGCACACTTTGATTCTTGGTACCCTCCAGGGATGTCCTCCACTGGCAGGCAGGCAGGTCCTCCACTCTCCCGGCTCCGAGAACCTCTGTGCCCTGGTCCTGCACACAGCCAGCCCCAGGCCGGGCTCTGCTTCCGTTTCCTGTCTCCCCTCCTCTTAGGCGACCTGCCCTCCCTCAGCTGCCTGAGCCACAACCCACTTAACCATCAAGGCGGTTAGGACAAACATTTAAAGGTCTGGCAATTAAGGACCATTTTGTCCAGTTCTGCTAATCCACAGCTACACAAATCCTGCTGTCCACAGTCGGAGCCAGCGGGGCCAGAAAACCCTGGATCTGGGCCGCTTGTCCACATGGTTTGCTTTTTTTTGTTTTATTGGTGAGGAAGATTGTCGCTGAGCTAACATCTGGGCCAATCTTCCTCTATTTTGTATATGGGACATGGCTATAGCATGCCTTAGTGAGTGGTGTGCAGGTCTGCACCTGGGATCTGGGCCCACGAACCACAGGTCGGCGAGGTGAACCTAACCACTAGGCCACCGGCTCAGCGTTAGCTCAAGCGGTTGCTCTGCACTCTCGGGAACTGCTTCCCTTTAATCCCTTGGTGTCCACACAGTTTGGAAATGGCTCCACTCCAGTCTCAGCCGCTTCCGGTATGGTCTGAAAGGAGGGGTCCCGTCACGGGTGAGAGGTGGTTTCCACGGAGCCTGGCTCAGGCCGGACTGGGTTGGGGGGCGAGGTGAGGCGGCGGGACCAGAGGCGGGTTTGGGGCTTGGGCTGGGGCAGGACGGGGTGGCACTGGCGGGTATCCAGCTGGGGGGGATTGAGAGTCGAGCCGGGGGTCGAGCTGGGCGTGCGTGCTGGGGGTCCGGGCTGGGGGCAGGATTGGGGTCAGGAATGGGGACGGGTTTGGGGGCTCGGGCTGTAGCAATGCCAGGCCAGAGTCGGCCACGCACGCGAGGATGGAAGGGCTTCAGGGCAGGACTCGGCCCAGTGCCACTCAAGCTGGGCGCTGAGGCCACGCATCCGGTAGCCGAAGCCCGGCCTGTAGGGTGCAGGGCGCGGGTCCCGCGACGTCCAGGCTGCCCGCGCAGGCCCTGGGTTCCCACCCCACGTCCCTCCCGGCTCCGCCCCCTCCCCGCCCAGCCTGCCTGAGCCAATCAGCGCATGCCAGATCAGACCTCCACCATTAGCTCTCAGAGAGTCACACGGTGGAAGCCTGGCCAATCAGAACCATGGAGACACCAATGTATGGAGGGTGGAACATGGCGTGTCGGGAAGGGAGCCTCCGACTGTCCTCCCCTGGTCGTCCTCCCTCGAGGGTCCTCCCCTGAGTGTCCTCCCCCGAGGGTCCTCCCCCCAGGGTCCTCCCTGACTGTCCTCCCTGTGTCCCCCCACGAAGCCAGTCCCGGTTGGAGTTGTCCCTCCTGCTGCCCTGCCCCCAGCTGGCCCCCCTCAGGATGAGGCCGGTGGGGTATGAGGCCCGAGTGGGCCGGAGCTGGCCGAACGGAGGTGCATGCCCGTCTGAGGACAGAGTGGGGGCAGGCCCCATGCAGGGGTCCCTCGGGACCTCAGGAGCTGAGGAGGGCTGGGGATGGAGCCGGGTCTAGTGGCTTCACTCTGCCGCCTGAGGCTCAGGGAAGACCCACAGCCCGGCGGGTGGGCTCAGCGGCACCCAGAGTCCTGCGCTGTTCACACCGCCCGTCTGGAGGGTGGGGCCTGGCGGCCTCCCTCCTGCTGGCCCTCAGGAGCCCCTCGGGGCTCGCCCCAATGGTGCCCAAGGTGATTTCTCTCAGCCCCAGAG